CACCATTGTGTAATGAGCTAAGTGTTAAGGAAAAGGAAAAAGATGCCTGTTTGATTTGGCCAAAGATGATGTTTTTCTTTATTCCCACATATTTTTTTTCAAATGCGACTGATTTTTTTCAAAAGAATATGACATTTGAATTGACTCCCCCCACCCCTCTACACACACACCGAAAGCAACGTCTAGACTACTCCTAATTATAACTAAGTCATTTTAAGTGGCAGGTGGGTATCTTAAAGGTGGTCTGTTCTCATCGTTTCACAACACAGAAAGTTGAGTACATTCTTCTATGGACAAACATGAATTTGCTGGTTTCTCCTTTTTAAAAAAATGAATGTGTTATGATGCACATAATTGCATTATGATGCAGGATGACATAATACAGAAGACGATGTTTTCAAGCTGGTTTTATAAGTAGTTATCTCACTTCCACAGAGTTGGTTTGCCATGTGATGCAATGTGTCCCACAGACATGAACAAAACAATACAGCCACCGCTCCGTGAGGGGATGGTGATTTTCAAAAATGAATTTTAAACACAACAATTTGTGGACAGACAAGTTGATAGGAAAGAGCCTTGAATATAGGCACCAGTGCCCCAGTTCAACAATACCCATCCAATGTAATAAAGTTTGAGGAACAAAATATAGACTATAGCCTGGATGTAATTACAAAATTCTGCTATGGGAAAACTAAAAGCACAAGTAGGGCAAATGCATTTTCTATATAATGTTTTATGCTGTATCTTTGGAGCGCGAAATTAGCAGAAAGGAAATATGTTGGTAGGTCCTTAAAATATCTTACTTTGAGATTACTTGGGCGCTTTTACTAGAATTTGACCCAAATACTACTCTTCTGTTTACCCTCATTTCTCAACAACAACAACAAAAAAATCTATCTCTGTAAAAGTCTTGGTGAGCCTGCTTTGGAAAAAGAGCAAGATATAGTAATTCATACGAAGAGTCCGTGATTCTTGCTTTACACAAAGAGCAGGCTCTCTCTTCTCAAACATTTTAAATTTCTAGAGATGAAGTCTAGAATGTAGAAAGTACTGATGTGACTATTTCCAGTATTCATCTCTTTTCATCTCACTGAAAAGTTGTGGTTTTGTTGTTGAGAAATTACTTCTTGTGAAACCCAATTAACTGAGAAGAGAGCCCCTTTCTGAAGTGGGTTGTGCACACAGAACGCTTGCATTCAGCACAGAAGGGAATTTGTTTATGCGGGTTTTATCTCTTCCCTCAGCCAAGTAACAGGGAGAAAGATCATAATTCAGGAGGCTCATTTTCAGAAAAAGAAACACCATGAGAAATGACATTCTCTTAATGTTTTCGAAGTCCATTAGCACTTCTATGAATCAATACTGTCAGAGACCTTGTTCTACACAGAAAAGGAGGAAGGGATTTCATTTCTCTAATGTTGGACAGCTTCTCACAAAAAATTCAATTCAACTAACAATACTATAAACAAATTATTTATAAGATTATTTAAAACATTCCAAGGTGGTGCCCTTAGGTGGGAAATCTGCAAAGGAATGATCTGTTCTCTCTCCTTGCTCATGGCCTGAATGTTTGTGGCTGCCGCCCCATTAACAATCGCCAAGAACGGGCTCTGTTATTAACAGCCAGCTCCGTGGAGGCCAAAGTTTTGGATGTACCTCAAGCAGATTCTAGCAGGGCTATATCAGTGGGAAGGCTTTTAGTACACCTAAAGAAACACACAGAATCGTAAAAACCCACTCCGGCTAAAATGCTACGAAATAGGGTTGAGTTTTGATGATTTGGATCTTCAGGCCAAACATTTAGGAGGACAGTGATAGGAGGAGAGTGACAAATTCAGGGAGGCATCTGCTTTTTGCAAGTCCCTTATAGTGACCATTCATGTGGTGACTTTCCAGGAGCAGACAGATTTCGAATATTCTGTACCACTGTCCAATCTTGTGCTATATCATGTCCCTGTATCTTACTTGAAAAACTTTTTGAGTTAGATATGGAAAGCTGGCTGCTGGGAACACACGTGCAGTGCAGTGTGGAGGAAAGAATTCAGGCTTCAGGGGCAGAGACAGGAAGCTTCACACCGCCCCCCTCCCCTTGCCATTTGCTATTTCTCTGTTAGAGGGCAACTCAGCCACTCTCTCTCTGTGCCTCAGTCTCCCACCCATAAATTGTAGAACTGATGTACACATGAGAGGAAATGTGTCTAAAAATTACCTAGTACAGTGCTTGGCACATAGTAAGCTTTTGATTTATAGCCATTATTTAATGGCTTGCTGAATTTTTGACCTTTCAAGTTCCTTTAGTACTTTCAGACAACTTCCAGAAAGCAGTCCAGTCAGGAGACTTGACTTCAGTAAGGTTAAGGGACCCAGCGGCTTTCCTTTGACACTTAATTGGTTATTTTACAGCCCATCCTGGCTCACTTCCTTCTCCTTTTCCTTCTTTCTGAAACCTCGAGGAGGAAGCAGCAGATGGTTTTCTAGGCCTGTGGTCTGGTTCTAGAGAACGCTGTCCACCCCGGCTGTCTCCACTGTCTAAAGCCTGAGTGCTTAATTACCGTTATACTTTTTAAATTGCTCTTACCAAATGTTTGGCTCTGAAAGAGTATAATTTTGCTGAGAGCCCTTGGTAGCTTGTTTGGGTGGATTTGTGCTGAGACGGCAGGGCTGGAGGATTTCCAGGGCTCTTGTGTATCCATATAATCTCATTGTGTATTTCTATTCATGACTCCACTTTTAGCAGTAAATAATTCTAGGGAAAAGTTGTCGAGTTCTAAATGTAAATCTGGAAATTTCCAGGACTAACTGCAAAACTTGGTTAAAGGCTAGGCTTACTAAATGTCAGTTATACCCCAATAGACTTTTTAGGGATAAGTGATTGTGTCAATATTCCTTCCAAAATGGTTCTGAATACAGAAGATACCAGGGAAACAGGGAACGAAGATGGATTTATGCACCTGATACTAGAGGATAAAATAAAGTAAGACAAACAACTATCTCTAGTGTTTTACTCTAAATACATTGGCTTTTGTTAACTAAGCAAAACTTTTTGAGGCCCACTCAGTGCTTCCTAAGTTCGGGGCAAATCACAGTGAAGTTTCTATCTTAAAATTATAACTGCCATATGCCATAGTGTATGTTGAAGAGAACTTTAATATTCAGAATTGCATTTTTACATTCTGTATGTAAAATTAAGTTAAGAAATGCTGACGTAAACAAGATTGGGTGTATTTAAAAAGACACAAGAGTATTTTTGTGGGTGTGTGAACAGATCCAATTTACTATGTGCATATATGCATGTGTTTCCCAAATGTAGAGGAAAAACCCAGTGTGAAGAAGAATTATTGCTGTGTACAAGTACAGGAATATCTCATTGGTCATAATGTTTATTGACAGGCACTTTCAGCTTTTAATTCATTTCTGAAAATGGGCATTAGCTTATTACTATTGCCAGTATAGATTCCTTTGAACATGTGGCCGTATCCATAACACTTAATCTTGTCAACACGTAGCTACTCCTAAAAGAATTCCCGCTGGAATTAAACATGAATAAACACTGTACAGTTTTTTGTTTGTTTGTTTTTTATCAAGAACTACTTGGTTGAGGAGGAAGATAACTGAGAAAAGAGCACAATTGCTAGGTACTTCTCTTGAGCACAAGTAAAATCCTGTGCAGTGGTTTCCCCCTTTTCAGGTAAAGACATTTTGAGTTTGGAATCAGTTGACTGCAACTTAAAATGACTTCCCTGTGTTATAAAACATCCTGGCTAAATTGACACAAGTGGCCACTCCATTTTGTCAGAGCACGAGAAATGTGCTGTGAGAAAGTGGAACAGAGTTCCCCATGGCAATATCGCTAATTGTGTGTAAGATATACAAGGCATATCTGAACAAGTTTTCTTTTTTTATTGTGATGAAAACTAGAAGCTCTTTTCCCCAACATACTTCATCAAACTATTTACAACCTCTGTAAAATTTGTGAGTTTGAAAATACTTTTTCCATTATCACATATGTTACGAATACAGTAAAATAGCTTCACTCTATTTTTTTAAAGATGCAGTATCCTCAATTTCACTTTCTTATGAAAATCTGAATTTCTATTGCAATTGCACAGTATTTAGCATATTTAAAGTACCAATGGACATGGATTGCTAAACAGACATTACTCTATAATGAACCTGTGAAAATATAGCATTTAAAATTTTTATGTACACTTCTTAACTATAAAATGCAGGCAAAGTCATATATAGCATTATAAGCTGATTCCCTAATAAGGTAAATAACTTACATTTGTAGACAGCATGGATTATTACAAAGTCATTCTTTTAAAAAAAGTTTTTTGTGGATATTCACGAGCCCACCGGCTGCTGCATATACAGGCGTGTGTACAGGTGTGCATGTGGTGGCGGAGCCTGTTCAGGGGAAGCAGATGGCAGTGTGGGGACAAGCAGAAATGCAATACGGAAGACACGACTTACCAAACCTCACTTGTAAGCAAAACCAAATCAAAGTGTAAGATTTTTTTAATGAGATGCACTACCTCAGAAAACTGAAGGAAGAGATTTGGTCAATGAAGCTGTAGAATACATTTACCTCCTAAATCTACAGGCATTAGGAAAGCGCAAAATCTGAGATTGGATTATGCACTATGATAGTATTAAGGCTTCCTGGGCCTATTATGATTCATAAGAGTCACCTCATGTTCAGTCCCTTATATGAAGGCTACAACTCAATGTATCATGGATGCTGGTATTCTCAACACTGTTTTAAACTCTGTCAATCCTTACTATAAATGTTAAGACACCTTTATAACAACATTATGGCTACATTTCTAAGCAGTCATAACAACATAACAAAGGCGTGTTAATACATTTTGAAGGCCTCACCTCACCAGATTTATTCAACTGCAGCTTTGGTAAGTATAATAAATAAAATACAGAATAAGGAATACTGCATCTTTATCCATATACATGTTATCATTCTAATGAACTGATTTCAAAGTGCAGAATTACACTTATGTTGAAAACACAAATGGCAATTTGAAGTTAAAAAAAGTGTAAAAATGACCACAAGCTTTGTATGAGCTATCCAAAATTTCAACCATAATGAGAATGGCCTTTCTACCCTAGAACTGGCATTGTAAACACTGTACCTTTTTGTAAGATTTTCTCCCCTTGACAATCCTCTTCCTATTTTCCACTTAAACTTTCAGAAGAAAAAAAAAGTGCTCTTTTTTTCCCCCAATGTGGTATATGTTACTGTAATTCAACTGTTCTTTTTTTCTTTTTTGAGAAGAAATGTCCTATAGTGTTTCGCAGAAGTTATGCCAGACAGTAGTATGTTCTTTACGGTAAAGCCATTAGGAATTTTGGTCTAAATATTGTAATAGAACGTAAGACAAGTTATCAAGCAGGCTTCTCAGAATCCGCACACAGTTGACAGGAGGGAGCTGGAGGAGAATGGGAAAGTGCGAATTTTTTTCCTAACAACTTAAGATCAGAACATGAAGAGGGAATCTGTTTAAACCCCAAAGCCTGAACCTTGTAACTTCTCAAATAATATTAACCCCCTTGAACTCAAATCTCCACAATGCAAAGAGATAGGCCTACTGTAGCTTCTCAAGCCATTACCGCCACCTGCGTGTGAGTTCCTGAACACACACATAAGTCCCGCTGCAAAGTGACAGAACAGTTTCAAATTTAAAACCAAAGAATGCTTCTAGTTAGGGAACAACTGACGAGTCCTTTGGATTCTACTTCTTTTCTCTTGTTCATCATCTACTGTGCTTTTTAAAAAGAGGCTACAATGGACATAAGATGAAATAGAGGAGGCTTTTCTATGCCCAAAGATATTCCCACTTAAGAATCCAATTCTTTCTCTCCCAAACTACTTTCCTTTCCATGGGAAAACATTTGTAGAAAACTCAACAAAGAGCATTTGCTATGCCCCAAGACAAGTCCCAAGTAACTTTCAGTCCTGGGGCTAGATCAGCAACTCCTTCACTACTTGTGCTTGGATCCCTCCTTAGAAGTGTGGACAAGTCAAAGGGGGAACTGGCGTAGTACTGACAGACTCTGTCAGTCAACTTACTGTCTCAGTCTGGTTTCCACTCTCAGAGGATGAGGAGAAAAACTCACTTTCCTGAATCTTTCCTGTGTTATTAGAGAGGAGCAGCTATTTAGTTTGATGCTAAATTTAAATCAAGCTGTCACTCAGGAAGCTCCCACTGCCTGTCAGGCCTATGAATTGTATAAACCACCTCTACCTGTAACACTCGCAAGACCTCTCTCAGCACAGAACAGGATTGGCCCTTCTTATGAGAACAGACAGAATTAAATCAAGTCTACACTTTGCCTGAGTGATTCACCTACTGCCTGCCAGCCAGGTTCTGGGACTAGCAGAGAGGGCTCCGCGGCTGTGTTCACCATGCCGTCCTGTGCCGCTGACAATAATCAAGGCTGGTGTGCATCAAGAAACCTTTTTTCCATTCCCAATGGTCACAGGCAATGAGAAGTAGAAGTTACATACAGTACGGATAAAAAACTTTCCAGTTGGTAAAAAAAATCCCAGTGCTTGGTGGGTAGTAGATTGTGTAGCTAAAGAAGCTATTTATCAATCGAATTGCAGCCCTTTTTGGAGAAAAATTGCCTGATGAATTTTTCAGACCTGGCAGAAAATGTAGAGCACATATTTCTGAAGACAAAATTTGACCTGAAAATCATTATGCTGTTGCTTGAACATAAAAAAAAAAAATTCTTTTAATACCATCCAACACAAATTGTCTTTGTTTCAAGGTTTAAAGTTCTTGCTTCATCAGAGTAAGATTATCTGAATTAGAAGATGATTCTAAAAAGGATAATTCTGCAACTGTAAATTATTTCAGAATGTTCAGACATTTAAAAATGAGCTAGTAATATTGTGAGGTTAATTTGTGCGACTCCCAAAATCAAGTGTTTGTAATTAAAGTATATTGCAAAGGTCTATCTATATGCTGGTAACATTTATATCTAAGCTATATAAAATCTTAACAACAACAATAACTAAAAACCTCACCAAGCCCCTTAGCCACATAAAGCTGAAAAAAAAACAGCTTTTAGTGGGGGAAAATAATATGATAATTTTTCTGAAAGAATGCTTGTTGGTGATGTATTGCTTTGCTTACTGTATAATTTGCTAACTGCCAAAAAGGCTCATATTTTTAGGGGGTTGATGGAACTGTAATTTCCTCTCACCCTAGGTCTAGGATGAGTGGGTTCAACATCCCTGCAGAGGCCGATGCGGGACCACTGGGTCCTGATACAGTTTACAAAAGGAAATCTGTATAGGAGAACCTCCTGGAGAGTCACTGATGCTCCGCTCTCCAAGTGAGGGAACTAGCACCGTGTCAGGCTCTCCTTGGGGAGCGCTCCCTCTGCGCTGACTTGCTTCCAGGGAGGGCTGACCCATTAACCCCAGAGTTAATTCCCTGCTCGGCCTCCCTGGCAATTCTAGTCACCAAATAACCGTTTTCAAACAAGCAAAGGGGAGCAGAATCTTTAATTGTGGTAGTCAACCAAGCAGGACAACAAACAGCAGAAAGATTACCTCAGTGCTGTGAATGTAACCAAGACATCTAAAATGTTGGGGTGTTTCTTACAATCCCTTTAGTAAGTATGAAAATTGGTAACGTGAGTCCTCAGTGAAGTTATTGTAGGAAAGTCCTTTTATTCATTATTGCTTTTCTCCTCAAGAGGCGCATTATTTCCATCTCTGCTTTGTCTGATTTTTCATGTTCACTGACTTTGCCTGGGCAGCCCCACCTCTTCTTACCTTGGTGCCAGTGTGTCTAAGAAAGTTTTTTTCCCCCTGATTCCTTGTAATCAAATACTAGGGGCAGGAAGAGATGATGCCTAGGTGACAGAACACTGCAATTTGAAGTGGGGCAGTAGTTTTTTAGACAGGCTCTTCCTATTCAACTACAGAACAGCTCTGTGCCAGTCTGTGCCAGGGCGGACACTGGGACTAGACTCCAGCCGAAATGTCGCTGCCCCTCTGCTCGAACAGATGAACAAAACAGAATCAAAACAAAACAAAAACAATCAACAACAAACAAATGAAAGGTTCAATGTTGGTTTTCTTCAGGGCATGGCATAATGACAAGTTGCGGGCGATATCTAGCTGCTGCCATCGCTATTGCCAAGGGCTACCCGGGTGCCCCTTTATTTCAGGTAATGGAACCTCTCCAACACCTTCTTCTTTTCTACGTTCATGCTGCTTGCTGGTAACGGACTGGATGTGCATTCTATCTTACTCAGATGGGAACTGAAATTTCTGTAAAAAGGGGTTAAGGGGTGGGATGATGGGAGAATTATCCCCATGTACAAGGTCTTGCTCTAGCCATCAATTTGTGGTAGATGACCTTTAAAGTATCAATAACAAAATGTCTGACAGCTCAGAAAATGTACAAGCTACAAACATCTTTAAATGGCAGAGTACACAGCACGGAAAACAATGCCTGTCTCTTCAGCATTTGTGTCACCGATCTCCCAGGCCAGCGTGAAGCCGTGTCTCGTGGAGTCGCGATGGGGTTTACCTTCAGACCGAAAGGAGAAGTGTTCCTTCTGTTTCCTGCTCTGGTTTCAGACATCGTGGGATGGTGATGCCCTTTGTGTTAACACTGTGAAGGGGATTCAGCCCTGCTGAACTGGGTGCCGCTAAGAGATCCAGCTCTCTCGCTCAGCTGGACAGGTAGCATTCCTCACACCAGCATATGCCTCCGGCGGTGCAGTGCCAAGTGATCTGACCGAGAAAAGCTGCGATCACAGTCCGCGCACTTGAATGGCTTCACTCCCGTGTGTTTGCGGTAATGCCTTGTCAGTTCATCCGAACGAGCAAACTTCCAGGTGCAGCCTTCCCAGGTGCACTTGTAGGGTTTCTCCCCTGGAAGAAACAAAGGGACATACGCTTTGGTGCTCCATCACTTTTCTGTAATAACCAAGTCAGAACTCTATATTGGCAAATTGATGTTTTCAATGGATGTTTCATTGCGCAATCCTTTGTCAGGAAACCTAACCATCCCATCAGCCGGTTTGGGGTGAGAGAGATGAGAGTTTCGATCTCGTTTCTCCTGCTGTGACATCTGGCAACTTAATGAACACTTACATCTTCAATTATAGGTATATTACTTTGCAGTCGAAATATCAAAAGGCATAGATGGATGGCCCTTGGATATAACGACCACTAGCAGTATAAAATGGGATATTAGAGCTCTGTTTAGGTTAATTTGGCTGTAAGGTGGAAACAAATTAATCAATCATGTTTGGTTTCAATTCTCCGAAATGTGCATCACTGAGGTGGTCAAGGCTATTTTAGGGTACAATGTCCATTTATCAGTCACTGAAAATATACACAAAATTTCAGTAAAATGTAAAGCACTCCACCACCCCCAGAAATTAGGTATTAAGTACATATCATTCATAAACATCTACTTTTTGCTTGTCTATTGGGAAGAAATCCGTGATATCTTAACAGCGTAAAGTTTAAATACCTTTTTCAGTGACAGGAATTAGGGCAAGCCCTGAGGAATCACTGAGTTGGTTCTAGTGGAGAAACTCAGAGTAAAAAGCAGTCTGAAGAAGTATGTAATTTGACCAGGTCCCCTCCGTCAACTTGTAAGGACAGTAAAATATGCAAAGGCTTTGCTGGGAAAAGATACACTATCCATTGTCCAAATGAGCTCCCAGGGGGAGCGGGACAATAGTTGACCCAGGTGTGCTTTTTCCTGGCTCTCATTCAGAATGGGAGACCTGTCCCCATGCAACCCCACAAAAACTGATCTGTTCTCTGCCACTTCCATCCAGCAATCAACAACACTCTGCCTGGCCACACATGGCATCTGGGGGAAAGGGCCCAAGAAGGGAAGAGAGCGACTTGTTGATTCATACATATAGAGCTGAAAATTGTGCGTTGTTAATCCCACTTTACAGATGAGAAAACTAAGGCTCAGTGAAGTAAAGTAACTTGCCTACGGCCAGTAAAAGATGTGTATTTAGCTCCAAATCTAGTGCATTTCACTATGCAACTGTTGAAGGGGTAATTCTTTCCTCTAAACTTTGTCACATCTTTGGACAGTTCTACTTCCTTAGGCACTCCCAAATTATTCGCTTCCTATTCCTATTAAACCACCTATCACAATAGATCATACAGATTTTGTTTAGATGTCTTTCTCCTCTGCCAGTTTCTGAATACATGGAGGTTAAGGACCAGGCCTCCTCTGTTTTATCCTCAGAGGCTAGAATATGTGCCAAGCAAGTGCATGAATGAATGAATAAAACTGGAAGACATATGCCATACAGGAAACTAGTAAGCTCTGTAAATGAGATGTACAAGTAATGCCTACCTATGAACACTAGGCTGAACTGGACCTAGTATTTTTCATGTGACTGTTAAATAAACGCTAAATTGAGCAAATGGCCCTTTCAGAAGTGAGTGGATAGTTCAAAATATTGATGTACTTAATTGCAGCCCACCGACTGCTCCAGGGTTCTCTGAAGCCTACTTACTGAAAGAACCCCAAACTTCAACTTCTGACTCAGTCTGGATGTCCTAAGGAGACAAAAATCTTTTGCAGGTATCTATTGACCAGAATTTAACAGAATTTAAAAAAGTAACAATCAGCCAAACCCCTAACTTAAAAAGATTGGGAGGGCAGGGCCACTATATAGTAGTATATCAGTGGCAACTGTTGACATGCTTTTATTTACATGTCATCCCTTTGTTTTTTTAAAATTTACATCATGAACATGGGTTCTAATTAACTTCAACTTGATGTAAGTGATGTTTTCATCTCTAGGGCACTGAGCTCAGGTAGCTGACTCTTGCCACCAACAGGCAACTCCTAGCTATCTCCTCTGCTACTATGGAACCAGCCAGAGAGGGTGTAAGACCTAAGAATAAAGGATTTCCTTAATTGGGAAAAAGCTTTTATCAGCTGTGTGGTAGGAGGGTGGGTGTGTCTAGCTCGGGGAGTGGGAATGCCTGGGAATGGACAAGCTGATGGACCCTCACCTGGCCATTCGGGACCACGTGAGAGGAAGAAGCTCCGTACTGGGATGGGCCTGGAAGGGAAGGAAGGGCAAAGGGAAGGGAATAAGAGCTTCCAGTTACATCTCAAGAAGGGCCTTCAAGGCCGGTATGGACTGCAGCAGAGACACTTTATTGTCTAGGGCACTCTATGGATTTCCCTGTCTACCTAATTAGGCACTTAATATTCTCTAATTTCTTCCTCAAAATTTGTAACAGTCTGCTTTTGTTTTTGTTCTTCATTAATGGTATTTATGTCCTTTCCACTTGAAAATCTACTGTGACCCAGGGCAAATACAGTCTGTGGCTTGTTTTTTTGTTCAACATGCAAGCCAAGAATGATCTTTAAATTTTTAAATGGTTGTAAAAAATCAAAAGAGGACTGTTTCGTGGCACATGAAAATTACATGAAATTCAAATTTTAGCATCCATTAATTAGTTTTTATTGGAACACAGCCACATTAATTTATTTACATATTGCTGATGGCTGTTTTCCAGTAATGGCAGAATTGAGAGTTGCGATAGAGTATACAGCCTGCGACGTGCAAATTATTTTCCATCTGACACCTTATAGAAACTTTGCTGACCCTGGACGTAAGGGAGGGGTGCTTCTGCTTTTTGTAGGCTTCCTGAGTCTGTTAACTTACTGAATTAGGGTATATGATACACATTGTTAGTTTGGGATGGACAGGAGAGGGACTATTTTGGCGACAGATAATCACTTATTCTCAACTGAGGACCTTAGTTAAAATTCTAACAGTCGTCTCAGAAATAAACGCACACTATTTCACATCAAATACTTTGAAATGAGAGTTTTTGGCATCAGAAAATGAGTGGTTCTCTGAGAAGGCTCAACCGATTCAGAGTTTAAAAATATTTTTAGGATCTTTTCTGCTCATTATAGAATGAAAGTCTTCCCTGTGTGGGTGAGGGTCAGGATGGAGTAGGGTCAGGAATGTCTCTGTGTACTTTACCTGGAAACCAGTTCTACACCCCTCTCCCCAACACCTTCCAATACAATTGTGTTACAATGGCCATTGTGAACAATGACAAGTTACTGCTCTACTGAGTCTGGGAAGGAGGACACATGGAGGGAAGAATCAGGAAGTAGGAGCTTAGACGTTTGGCAATGTTTCTAAGATAGATATTTGTAAAGGGAAGGAGCAGGAAAGTAACAAATGAAGGCAATGATTTCTGTGAGCGCACAAATGTGGACAAAGAAACTTAGTGAAAACTCTGGAATGCATTCTGTGAAGTGGAGCCAAGTGCAATATGTGATCATGAAAGACAAAGGTGGCAAAATGAGTGAAGGTGATCAAAAGGTACAAGCTTCTACTAATAATTCATGGGGATGCAATGTACAGCACGGCATGACTACAGTTAACAATGATACTGTATTGTATATTTGAAAGTTGCTAAGAGATCTTAAAAGTTTTTCTCACAAGAAAAAATATTTGTACCTATGTGTGTCGAAGGATGTCAACTATACTTATAGTGATCATTTTGTAACACAGTCATCTTGTAACATACAAATATCAAATCATTGTGTTGCATACCTGAAACTAAGATGTTATGTGTTAATTATGTCTCAATAAAAAAAAGACAAGGGAATGGGCCTCAAAAATACGTGAGGCATATACTTTCTTACTCATGAAAAAACCACTGAAAGTAACATATAAGTTTATAAATTATTAGGGACTAAGTGATTAATGAAGGCATATAACAGAGAATATACACCTCCAATGGGGAGGGGAGGAGGGAGAAAATATATTGAAAAATAATAAACTTAATTATCTGAGTGATAAATAAGTTTTCCTTGAAAATTTTCTTACAAAAATGTATACCTTCTTTTTTAATATAAAAAAAAAACTTATGCATAATATTCCTTGCTCCCATTGCCTCCTTAATAAAACTGGGTATTCTATCTCCATATTTCAAAAAAAGAAAGAAAAGAAAAAAAGAAAGCAGGCTGGGGTACAGAAAACGCTATCTTTAAGTCAGAGGCTGACCCGTGGGGAAGGGGGTGCCGGGGAGGGCCGCCCTGAGCAGGCAGAGAGCTGGCTCCTGTCCCCGTTAAAGAGAGACCTGGGTCTTGATTATATCCTCCCAGTGCCTAGCACTTCATTAAAAAACAAACAAACAACCCATGCTCTCTTTGAACTAGTCAAGTTTTAGAAATAGATACAAGAGCAACTTTAGTGGCTCTACATTGTATATATGGCATATTTTATGCTTGTGCTTTGAAACAATTAAAAGGGTATAATCTTATAAACAAATTAAGAAAACAGAAACTAACTTTGTGATATGAATAAAAATTAATTAACATGATAAATAAGTTAGTAAGATAGATTGTAATGTGCATAAATGATCCCTGAAGAATATAATGAAGGACAGAATTCTATCTTCTTTCCTTCAAAATCTTGCTAGAAAACAGAAAGCTAAATTTAGTGTTAAAAAGTCAGTGGAAAAGACAGAATGGTAGGTGCGGGTCGCAGGAAAATTTCCCTGCGGAGGGAGGTGGCTTGGACAATAGAAGGAGAGAGGCCTCGCCCGGGGTCCCTCCTTTCACTGCTCAGGGCTGCCCTGCGTCTGGCTGAGCGATGGTGACAGCAAACGTGATTTCTACAGGAATTGTGAATTGTCCTCAAACTCGTTGGAACTAGAACCTGCAGACGTGTCATTCAAAACTGTTTTCCCTAGAAATAAGCTAAAAATGAAAATAGCCTGCCTACCTACTTGACTCCTTTTGTCTAACCCACAGGCACATGTAGAATCCCTGGGGGCAGTATCTTCAAAAATATGTTTTCTCTCCCAGAATGCTTGAAAGTTTTGAGTGTACCATCAGATCATCTTTGATT